TATATATTTCATTATTAATTAATCAATAAAATCATAAATAATAGTAAACAGTAATATAAATGCATGAAACTTCATAAATTATGTTTAATCAATATATAGGTCATCCCAGAATTTTCTCAGAATTTATTGAATGCAAAAAGTATTTTATGTGAATTATTGCCCTACTTTATTGCAATAATTATAGTAATTCAATAAAAATAAGTTATTTTCTGAAAATTTCCAGAACTTCTTATTTTATTGATGGTATTCTGAGAAAAATTAGGTTTATGCATAAAATGAGTTTTAGATATTTTGGATGATTTAATTTGTTTCTTGTATGAATTTGAAACTTTTAACAACATACCTTGATGAATGCTTCAAGAGGGATGAAGATTTGAGTATAATAGATTGTTCTTGGATGGAATATGAGTATTTCTTGGAGGAAATTTCGAGATTGAGAGTGAGAGAAAGATTAGAGAAGGTTTAAGTGGTGAAGAGAATAATGTGTTGGGAGAAAAAAGAAAGGAAAGTGGATGGGAGGTGTGAGTGGGAGGCCATGGGAATAATCTTTTTGTTTTTGGTGGTCTTCATAATTTCCCACTAACACAAGCATCTTTTACATAATTAATATAAGAGTTTTATAAAATTTAATGTAAAGTTTATAAAAATAGAGTTTTATAAAATTTAATGTAAAGTTTATAAAAATGGAGTTTTATAAAAGATGAGTTATTCTTTGATTATAACAATCTACTTTGATTTGAAGTTTAATTATAGCATTCAAGTTTGATTCTTTTAAATTTAATTAGAGCATTATACTTTGATTTGATTTTAATATGGTATCATAATTTAATTTGATTATAGTTATAACGTTGTACTATACTATGTTGCTATTAACGTCAATTTATATCGTAGTGTATGAGTTTTGATCCTATTAGCGTCAAGTAATCTTGAGTAGGGTTTGAATGAGATTGAGAGAGGTTTCGTTTGTGATCTTTTTGAGTGTCCGGCTTCGCAACGCAAGGTCCATAGACCCCGTTAAGCCATGATTTAGTGTCCTACACAATCCCGATGATTGTGCAATAGTGTTTTATCGCTTTGGTTCATTGTTTAGCACTGTTAAGGCTAAGGAAAATCAAACACATGAACTTTCCAAATGATGTTTTCTCATTAAAATAGCGAATTGTACAGTGATTACATAACGTAAACCCTATCATACAAGGGTTAATGGAGTTGACCGGTTTGACTAGTTGACTTTGTTTGACTTTGACTTGACCGAAATTTGATGGTTGTCACAGTCTTGACCGTAAACTCCTTTTTGAGGAGGTTTACGGTTGCTAGATAGTTTAGAACTTAAACTGACACTTCCAAATACTAATTTCTTTGGTTCACTAGAGTTAGGATACTCAAAACAGGTTCCCAAACAGTGATAACTGGGAGCAAAATGAGTCTAACACTGATAAATTTGAATGTTTACACAAGTTAGAAATTTCGGGTTGTCACAGTATGCACTCAAGTTAGGAAAAATGCTTGGCTGCCAAAAAGATTTCCTTGGACTTGGACTTGACCTTATGACAGTGGGACTGACTGTTAACTACTTTGACTAGAGTAAGTAGTTTGAAATATGTAACCAATCTAGGTAAATTTTAGGGAATTTTTATTGTTGGTAATCAACAAATAGTTGGAGTCGGTCATTGTTATATTTTGTGAAATAAAGACGGTTGAGCATATTTTTCATCACATGTGCTTTCACAAGAGTAATACCATAATTTGTTCAATGTGCTGACTCAATTCTAGTAAGAGTGAACAAGTGTTGTGACTTTGGATTCTGTTGAGTTGCATTAGGGAGTGGCCAAATTTTTTGTTTTTACTGTTATATCATATTGTGAGACTAATGCCAAGTTGACTCAAGGCACGACAACTACATTCTCAACTATGCTACAAAAATGAGGTTAATTGGGTTGGATTACCTTCATGTTTGTTTTGGTTATTGCATTAAGTTTCAAAAGTTTGGATTTTGATTTTTTTTTGTGTTCTTCGTTCTTTTGTTCTCTCCGGCCTAAACTTTTCTTGTTCTTTCTTGGGGACAAGAAAGGTTCAAGCTTGGGGAGATTTGTTAGGTGCATCTCATGTACCCATTTTGTAGTTTTACTTCATAAAAAGTGCATTGCATTAAGCTAAACTCATGCATTTTTACATGCTTTTCGGGATTTTTCATGACATTATTTCACTCACACAGTTTTGTGATATTTCAGGGACTTTGGGGGTAGGATCTTGTTTGGGGAGATAAATAAGAGATGTAGACAAAATTTCAGAACTTGCTGAGCACCGGGGATGAAGATATTGAAGAATTGAAGATTTTGGCAATGCAGGAGATTACACGGCCGTGTAAATTATAGACTTGAGTTTACATGGGCTGTGTAAACGAAGATTCTTCAGCAACACACTTTGAAGGCCCGACCAAACCAAGCAGTCTACTTTTGCAATTACACGGGCCGTGTAAACGTGGTTGTGGGTTTAAAAACAGTTTTTCTTCTCTCTTAAAAGGTGTAACCGATTTCATACTTCATTCTGTTGATTTTGGGAGCTTTGGGGGCGATTTTATGGAGGATTTTGGAGTCAATTAACACTTGGAAACACTTGGATTTTATTTGGATTTCATATTGCAAGAACTTTAACTTCATTTTCTAGATTTGTGTTATTGTTCTAGTCATGTGTGGCTAGAACCCTAGACTCTCCAACTTTATATCTTGACATTTGGGAGTGATTTCAATCATGTGACTTGATGTTTTGTTTTGATTTCTATCTAGTGAATTTGGTTTTACTTCAATTGAATGTTTGATTTTATTGTGATTCTTATTGGCCATTTGAATTGGGATTAGGTCATTCAACTTATCTAATTGCAAAATCTGTAATTGTTTTGTAAATTGGACCAAGTAACAAGCACTAAATTTATTTCTATTAAATGAATTTAGTGTAAATCTTATTCACACGTTCTTACGCTCCCGAGCTTGTGAGGAGTATTGAATGTTGTTGGGAACATTCACATAAAGTTTAATGCAATCTTTCAACCTAACTCTAAGAGCTTGTTTAGATTAGATTGGTAAGGTTAGGATTAATCAAAGAGCTTATTTTGGTTAATCAATGTGGTGAATGGGAAATGCTAGAGCTTGTTAGCATTTCCAAGTACCAACTTAGATAAAATTCAACAAATATCATTTCATCCATGGAATCACATTACTAATTTGTCTTGCATAGAGTTGGAGTCCTTACAAATCTTTAATTTGTTTTATTTAATCAATCATTTACTTATTGCTTTATTCTCTTGTTTAAATCATTGCATCTACCCCCCCCCCCCTTTGTGACCATCTTTATACCTTACGCAAAAAGGTATAAGCACTTGTTCCGTGTCTCCGTAGATCGACCCTGCTTAACTTGTATTACATTTTTTTAGTGCAAAGTAACAGTGTTCTTGGAGTCATTTTGTACCCCTTTATTTGTTGGGGTTGACACGCCTAATAGTTTCCTTGAACATGATCGAGATTCAAGAAAACAAAGTCCCATGTGAACAAGAAAAAAAAATCAGATTTACATTGTTGCAAGGTGTTGATTTCACTTTTACAAATGGGGGTTTAACAAGAAATCATCAATTTCTTCTATATCATTTTTACATATGAGTTTTCCAAAACCCACCCCCTTCTCGAGTCATCATCTTCCCACCTTAACCTTAAAACCCACCATTACAATACCATCTCATCGGTCAATATCCAACACCAACACGTCTGTCTACCATTTTCACACTTCATCATCATCTCCATCAGATATCAACACAACAGGTAGGGTAGATTGATTTCCCCTAAAGAAGAACCTAAGAGTTAGGCATAACAGTTACTCGATTTCCCCTAAAGTGATGATGGTCGCAGGGAACTCTAAGTTGGTCGACGGTTCTTTGGTTTAGGGTTTGCAAACCCTCGCTCCGTCGACGACTCCCTGAAAACCCTCGTAGAAACGTCGTTGAAAGATGAAAGAAGGCGTTGGTGAAAATCAAATGACAGCTTTGGTGGTGGTTTCCGACGAGATTTGTGGCTGCCGGTTGTTTCCGATGAGAATGGAGGCTGCTGCAAACGAAATATGGCAAAGGTGGTGAGGCCGAATTGGATGAGAGATAGAAGAGGGTAAAAGATTAGATAGAAATGTTGGCGGTGGTTTCCGGTGAGATATGTGGTTATAGGCGATTGTTCCGGATAGTGGGTTACGTCGGAGGGTGGAGTTGATTGGAAGGGCTTCCCTGTTCGTGAACCTGATAGAGAGGGAAAAAGGAGGGGTTGGTTATTTGTTTATTTATTTATTTGTTTCAAGTTAAAAAAGGAAAAAGTTAATTATAAGGGCATAATTGTCTTTTTAAGTATAAAGGGACCAAAATCAATAAGAAGATCTTATTTTGGACCATTGATGCACCACTAAAACTTTTTGGACCAAAACCGCAAAATTTTGTCAAGCACAAGGACCAATTTTGTAATTTTTTCAATCGAATATGAAGAGGGATTAAAGAGTAGGACAAGTGTTGATAGTGGTCGGAGGGTAGCAACAGAGGGCGACTATGGTATGCATCGATGACGGTGCTTCGACGAGGCGGTGGCTGACAGTGGTGGTGCTCCAACAGGAAAGAGGAGAGAAAAAATGGAGTTGATATATAAAAAAAGAAAGGGTTGGTGTGGTAGGTTATTAGGTTTTTTTTTTCATGTTTTAATTAAATATTTAAGTAAATAAAAAAAATGGAAAAGAAAAGCAGGCAGAAAAAATAGTATTTTCAAATGTATTAAATTTTCAAAGGAACCAAAATTTCATGATATTTAAATTTTGGATCTGCGGTGCAATGTGAACAATAAATTGGCCTCAATTCAAAAACCAAAGGGACCATATTTGAAATTTCTTTGAAGTGTTTGAGTTGCGTTTATAAGTCTGTGACGAACGTTATAACTGGTCTGTCTTTCCATAGAAATAACGAACCTGTTATTTTAAATACAACAGCAAAAAGATCGAGCAAAAATAAATAAAATATCCATTAAACAAACCTCTATACTCTATCCTTCCATTTTCATCGTCTTCCAAACCCTCACTTTGCGCACGGAAAATGGCGTCGGCGAGTGCTTTCACAGCTCAGATTTCGAACTTCAATGGAGGAGCGTCATCTGATAGAAAAACGTTCATTACTTTGTCATCCTCTTCATCATCCTATTCCCGTAAGCTCTTTTTTCATGGTCATATTAAACCCCCTTCCGATGGGTTATCACGGATACTTTGCTAGCCTATAATTGATTTGTTCTTACAATTCCATGAAACTTAAAGCTTTTGCTCCACCAGTCATTGCAATTTCTTCGCTGATTTTCGATTTGTAGAGTCCTGATTTGAAATTGGAATTGTCAAACCTACTGTTTCCTCAATCTAATTACTGTATTTTTATTTAGTTTTACACCGTTTTTTCTTCAATTCTTAGTGCTTTTTCTCTCTGTTATAGTTATCAATTTTGAGCTAAATTTAGTAAATTCATATTACACAAATTAGCTCTTACATCTTAACACAAAAAAGTTGCCAATTTTTACACTTTCTATCGTGAATCCTTGTGATTTTACCAACGGAGTCGTAATCAAACGCATTGCAGTTGCCATTCATACAATGAATAACAATTATAACAAAAGACTCGCCTGTTTTCCCTTCCAATTTACACAAATATCTATTTGTTTCCCTGTTTCCCTTCTTCTCTTGAATAACTTGTTTCTTCTTGCTAAATTCACAGAAAAACTAAGCTTAAAACCAAATTCAGTTGGTATGAGGACCCTATCTCACTCTCATCATCAAAAGCTTGTTGATAATCGCCCATCTCTTCGCGTATTTGCCCTATTTGGAGGAAAGAAAGATGGTGACAAGGATGATGGAAAGGTGAAATTTTGTCATTTTTCTCCAAAACTATAACATCTTTGTTTGATGGTTGTTGATCGAAGGGTCAAATTGGGAAACTTTGATTAAAACTAATAAATTTGATTTGGTTTGATTTTAGGCAGGTGTGTTTGGAAACATGCAAAATCTATACGAGACTGTAAAGAAGGCACAAATGGTTGTCCAGGTTGAAGCAGTGAAAGTGCAAAAAGAACTTGCAGTGTAATTATATTTATATTTCACTTATTTATTATATAATTTTAAACTTTATGTTTCTTTCTTTATTACAAAATCTCATAAATGAAGATTCTACTTCTTTTATATTTTGTAGAGCTGAGTTTGATGGTTATTGTGAAGGTGAACTAGTAAAGGTATGTAGCTCTATAGATATTAGATTAAATTACATAAATGGTCCCTCGACTATTACTCAACTACCACTATTGGTCTGTTGTCGATTTGTTTTTCATTCGTGGTTCACAAAGAGAAAATTAATAGCATTTTAGTCCCTCAAAACCATTATGATCCCCATGTAAGCACCTTGTAAAGGGCACCTTGTAAAGGGCATTTTAGGTATTTCAACTCCAATTTCATCAAGTTTGAAATTGATTAGGTCACTCTCTCTGGGAATCAGCAACCTGTACGCACAGAAATTACAGAGGCTGCAATGGAATTGGGGTCAGAAGTGAGTAATATTATAATATTATTTAATTTTATGTTTTTGAATAAAATGTTAAAACATGGTTGCATAAATCAGATAAATTAGTAAAAGAATGATATTGTATTATTAATTTTTTTTTGCAGAAACTGTCACTTCTGATTACAGAAGCATATAGAGATGCGCATCAAAAAAGTGTCCAGGTTTGTATGATAATATGAAAGTACAATTTTACCCTTGGAGTAATATATTTTGAATTTGACTGTTTTGCCCCTTTTTAGGCCATGAAAGCACGAATGGGCGATCTTGCGCAGAGCTTAGGAATGCCCCAAGGTTTGGGTGATCAGTTCAAGCAATAATCAAATCCCCATTTTGCCCTCATCCTTCAGAAAGCTGCAGTTTTGTAGACTAACTGTGCCAAAAGGTCCATATTACCCCTCAACTTTTAATAATAAATTGTAGCAGTTCTTGTTCAGTTTATTGATTCAGCCACTTGACTATTTTCTGTATGTTATCCTTTTTTTGTATTTCATCCTAATTTTTATTTTTTATTATTTGTTTCATGTAAGAACAATTCTGGGGTAACACAAGTGACTTTTTTTATTTTTATTTTTTATTTTTTTAGGTTTGTTATGGGGTATTCAGATAAAAAAAGCAGTTTGTTGAATGAAGAAAAGAAAATGACATGGACAATCAAGAAAGTTTAAATATGAAAGAGATGTAAAGGAACGAAAACTGCATCTCCTTTTTTTTTTTTTTTTTTTTTTTGAGGTGTTGTTAAATTATGATTTCACACATTTGGTGTTGAAATTATTTGAGCACTTATACTGTGAAAAAAAACTAGAATTGCGTATTTAATCTTATCCAAGTCATATTACTATACTAATGCTTTGACATATTCTAATCTGAATAATGGGCTCAAGCCATTTGCATCAAACGTTATACAAAGCTATTTATATGATTTTACTAATATACAAAGACCATTTTTATAATTTCACATTCTCAGGTATTACACATGGATCGTTTATGTAATTCTATCAATTAGGAAAAAGAACACTATTACTTAATACTTGGAGTTGTTTATATGATTTTACTATTATATAGAGACCATTTTTGTAAATTTACATTCTCAACTCTTAAATTACTACACATGGACCATTTATGTAATTCTACCAATTAGAAAAAAAAAACACTATTAAACACATCATGAATATTAATATATATAATGCCACATTTTGTACTCACTTTTACAAGAATCGATTTTAACTCTTTCTCATAGTTTCTCTGATCATATGATATCAAGTCTAAACCATAATATTCGGACGAGTGCATGAGCATGAGCATGAGCGTTGGGGGTACAAGATCGAAGCCTCTTCCATAGACCATCTCAAACCCTAACACCATTTTTGCACCACAGATGATAGCAAATAATCTTCAACCCTAACACCCTTTTTCAATTATATATTTTTTTTCTTACTTATTTAGACTTTTAAAAACACTTTACGTTTAGTAGTGTTTTTACAAATTTGTCTTACATATATTTTTAGAAGTTATATAACTAAACAGATAATTCATTATGTAATTAACTAGAACTAATTATTATATTATTAAAACAAACAGTTTTTTAAATAAAAAAAATACATTTGTAACACAATTAAATATTTAATGAAACAGTTATTATATTTAAAAGGGAAAATGACGAAAAAACACTATATTTTTCGAAAAGTTCGGTTTAACCACCAATTTTTAATAAGTTCCGAAAAAACCACCTATTTTTGGTAAAACATTTCACCACGGCAGTATTACATATTAGAATCTATTTTACGTACGAAAAAAACACTATATATATATTTTTAAAAGTTTGGTTTAACCACCCATAAATTGATGGTTAAACCGAACTTTTGGAAAAATATAATGATTTTTTCGTACTTAAAATATGTTCTATGTTCTAATACGTAATAGTGATTGCTCTGAAATATTTTACAAAAAGTTGATGGTTTTTTCGAAACTTATTAAAAATTGATGGTTAAACTAGAGAAAATGACAAAATATAGTGATTTATTTTCGTGATTTTCTGTATTTAAAATATAACTATACAATCAAATTAATTCAAAATGTATACACTCAAACTTACGACAACTAAAATATATATTTATGAACTCAAACTTGAAAACCATTAAAATGAGAAATTTTAACATAAAATTTGTTATTAAAAGAATAATATATCAATTTAGGTGTTGTTTGTTTTTTAGAGCCAAAACGTCTGCAGTGAACCACATCTGCAAACCTATGTAGAAGAAAAGGTGGACAAACCGTCTACAGTCTGCAAGAAAAAAACTGTTTGTTTTTAAGGTTTACAGTATGCTGAAACAACTGAAATTTAAATAAATTGATTTTATAAACATAAAATAAATTTTCAACACCGAAATTTAAATAATTAAAGTCTAACAACCTTGAAATAATATAACAATTGCAATCTGTTTAGTAAATGTATTTTACTAATTTTATATTTTTTTACAACATCTTTTAAAACCTTTTTAATAACTATTTGAAACTAATTTACAAGCCTTATAAAAAATACAACCTAATGCAACTGAAAAAAAAAACTATAAGTACAAAGGTTTAAAAAATTTAAACGTTATAAAAATTACAAGTAAAAATATTTAAAAATGAAAAAACATAAGTTGTAAAAAAAAACGTTTTGAAACTTTTTTTAAAATCGCTAAAAGGAAATTATATTTTTTAAACATTTTAAATAACATTTCAAACTTTTAAAACATTTTTTTGTTTTTTTTTCAACCTTTTTTATGTTGTAAAAAAGTTTTAAAAATATGCAATTTTTTTAAAAAAAACTTGCGAAAATGTTTAAATATGTTATAAATAAAGATTGTAAAAAAGTTAAAAAGATTATGTAAAAAGATGTTTAAAATGTTATAAAAAGGTTTTAGAATGTTATTAAAAAATAAAATATAACAAACGTTATAAAAAAAGTTGTAAAATGATATTAAAAAAAGATGTTAAAAAGTCTATAAAAAAATAAAAAAGTTTGTGCAAGAAGTCTTTAAAAAAAGATTTAAAAGAATTGGGAAATTTTTCTATATAAAAAAAAACAGACCAAATTTTTAGGTTTATATATATATATATATATATATATATATATATATATTTAGTAGAGATGTGCAAGAAATGTGTTCATCCCGAAGACATTGGTCCAGGTCTATTGACGCGTTAACATTTTCACGTCTGCACTTTTCTAAAAAACAAACAAACTTCATGACTCCACAGACATGGATATCTTCCCGCCCACAGACATAAGTGCTCGAAAAGATATTAAAAAAAAACAACAACACCTTAGTAAGGTTATATTATCATTAAACCTAATTTGATATAGAAAATAATATTAGATGGAATAGATTTATATAATTTTTACAACAAAAATAATGTTAACACCAAATAAAATGTTTTTTTTAAGATCAAGGAAGTATCACTATCATATAATCAGTATACAACTATACACAATTATTATCATCAATAAAATCAATTTACAGATAAAGTATTTAACAACAATTTAGTTATTAAATCAAATTAATCCCACTAATAAAGAATAATACATAATAAATGGTTTAAATTTTGCTTCAAAGTTCAATCCTTTGGGTCAATTTGGTAACATGCAGGTTGACGTGCTGCACAAGCAACCACCTGCGCCCATTGCTTCAATCTTCTCTTCACCATCTCCGGATTCTCTCCTGAAATTAATTATTTCAGGATAATAAATATATAAATTTATTATATAATAATATAAATTAAAAGATTTACCTGAGCTGAATAGGGTGGTGGTGGAGGCGTTATGAGGGCTACAAGGTTGTGGCGGCGAGTCACCGTGATTAGAGGTGGTGGCTGATGTATTTGAGCTTGACGTCGGTGGTGTTGAGGTGGCGTAATAGAGGTCAAGAGCCGGGAAAGTCTTTGATAGTTTAGTTGGTTCCGATGCGAAGTTGAAACCCAGATCGACGCACCCTTTGAGCTCGTTAATGTCTTCGGTGGTTATCATTATCAAGCTCTTGCTCCGCCTATGGAGGTGGTGGCGCTGCTGGTGGTGATGCTGGTGATTGTCCTTCAGCTTCAGCCACGCCTCTTCACGATTATAGTCCGTAGACAATGATTTATGTTTGTGAAGCAACGGCGGTTTTGACAACCGCGATGGCGGAGAAGTTGTATTCGCGTCTGACATGAGTGGTGGCAGCGGTGGCGGTGGCGGTGGCGGTTCTGATACCGGCCGCCACGGGTCCGGAGACCAGTATCGGTTAGGTTGTTTGGAAGGTGGGTTATCGTTCAACAATGGAGGCTGAGTTTTTGGTTGAGAAAATGGGTTTGTGGTTATTTATATAATTGTGGATTTGTGGGTGGCGGAAGTGGCGGCGTGTGGTGGTGATGGGTGGCGGGACCCGTACGCCAAAGACTGGTTGGTTTTTGTGAAAATGATCTGTTTGTCAAATTAATTAAATTAGTGGGGTTATTTTATAATAAATAAAAGTTGGGGGTATTAATATTTTAGAACAACGTAATGGAAAAGGTTGCTTTAGGTTGGCCAATTGGAGAAAGCATAAAGCTAAAACAGGTCAAGATTGCAAAGCATAAAAACTTTTGAGCAAAACAATAGATTAAATGTACGTTAACATTCGGTTTCTTTTTATTTGAATTGCTTAATAATCTATGAATTGATTTACATAAGACGTAGTTGTAAATTGGAATACATGTATGTTATTATTAAGATTTGATAATATAGTTAAAATCACTAGTTGATCTAGAATGAAATGAAATATAACTGTATATATAATAGTAAATTTTTTGAAAATTTAAAGTATTTTTTAATATTGAGAAAATAACTTACTAGTGTAATAATCTTTATTGTTTTGTTCACACTTAGATAACTTCTTTATTTTTGTACACATTTGATCATTTAACTTGTTATATGTGTTCACGTATTGCAATTGTCGCCGGCTATAGCATGTGACAATAGTAATATGTGAACAAATTAAAAAGTTAAATGGTTAAATGTGTACAAAAAAGAAAGTTGCTTAAATGTGAACGAAACGAAAAATCAATTATCCTGATAAGTCATTTTTCCTACTTTTAATAGCGATTTTATTTTTCATATTTGTTTGTATTATTTTTTTCAACGTTATTTTAAAAATATCCATAATTTTCTAAATATTAATTAAATATTATTCGATTTTAAACTTTACTTTTTAATTAATAAATATGTTTTTGTTTTGTGAAATATTTTATATAGCCTCTTATAATTTTTTTTCTTTTGTTTTTAAGCATATACAATATTTTAAAAATAAATAGTACCTAACAATAAAACAAAATAAATCAAATATGTAACAATAAGTATGGAGGGTCTTTTAAAAAAATATTACTTAGCAAATAAAAAACAAAAAAAATATGTATAATGCAAATGTTTAAAAATATTCCAACTTTTTAATACTTTTTAATTAGAAGTTTATAAACTTTTAATTTTTTTAATACAACGTTTTAAACTAGTATTTAACAAAGTATTTTAAAATATTATAAAAAAATATTAAATTGTCATACAAAATCTGTGGAACACTTCAAAAATGTTGTAAAAGAAAGTTTAGAAACAAATGTATAAAAGTTATAAAAAAGAATTGTATGAAAATGTAAAATAAAACAAGTTAAAAACTTTTAAGAAAAATTTAAAACATTTACAA